CATCCGTACAGGCGTGGTAATTTTTTTTTTTTTTGGGGGGGGGGGGGTTGGGGGCTTGATTTATGTTAAGTCAACGTTGAAGGGTTTTTGCTTATCTAATTTTTAGCATGGGTGTTATATGGTTTTTGAGTTTTATGTTGTGTTAAGATTGACAGAAGTTCAGGTCCCTTCTTTTATTTTCAGGTATACCCAATGCATTAAATGTGGTCTCGAATTTCCCCTTCTTTGTTGTTGGTCTAGTAGGGCTCATACTTTGCTATCATGGGAATTATTTTAAGCTCAGGTAAAAAGGTGTCCATGGTTATCATTTTCTTAGGATTCAGAAGAATTTTCTTGTGTGTATTTACTCATCAGTATAGATGCTAAATGCTTGTAATAAAAGCTTACAAGGTGAGCTTTGGGGCTGGGCATGTTTTTTTATTGGTGTGGCTGCTGTTGGTTTTGGATCCTCTTACTATCATCTAAAGCCTGATGATGCTCGTCTTGTGTGGGATCGTTTGCCGGTGAGCTTCTCCATGAAATGAAATACATAATGATTTTACAGAACCTTAGCTGTTATCTAATGGGTGTTTTACAAGGTTATTATTGCTTTTGACACATGATTTATGATAATTGAAGATGACTATTGCTTTCACATCTATCATCGCAATCTTCATCATTGAAAGAGTCGACGAGCAAAAGGGAACTGTGTCCATCATTCCCCTGGTTTTGGCAGGGATTATAAGCATATTATATTGGAGGTAAGAATGCAGCTACTTCTTCTTTCCCCCTTTTTTTTCGAATAAAGAAAGATTTTTATTTTTGATTATTAGTAATGTAGCCTTTGCCCTAAACTTATTAAGCAATTTCTTTGTCTCTACAAGCATGGGTCATTTGGTGGTAGTTTTATGTTGTAGGTGTGTGAGATAATATGCAAAACTGAAATGGTGCTTTTTTGATCATTTAACTTTCTTCTTGAATGAGAAAGAAGTTTGTGCTTTTAAGACATTTGACTTTGAGTTTGCAAAAAAGCGTTTGTGGGATAAATATTATCTTGTCTGAGCTTTCCTGAACATTGCAAATAGTGTGACACCAAAGCAAACATTCCAGAAAGGTTTGCATGAACATGCCATTGCATTTCCAGCTAAACATTTGCTGATTGATTTTATTTTCACCTGCAGGTTCTTTGATGACCTCCGTCCATATGCGATAGTTCAGTTTGTACCATGCATTGCCATTCCAGTCATGGCTATAATGTTGCCTCCAATGTACACACATTCTACATACTGGCTTTGGGCTGCAGGTTTGAACTTTTCATCAAGGGGGTTCTCGCGTCACACTCCTGTCTTTTCGTGCTTCTTGTCCCGCTGAGTAAAATTTTATTCCATACTTTGCAGGATTTTATCTTCTAGCCAAGGTTGAAGAAGCTGCTGATAAACCAATTTACAAATGGACTCATAATACTGTAAGTGGTCACACCCTTAAGCATTTATGTGCTGCGATGGTCCCCATCTTCTTGACACTAATGCTTGCAAAGAGGAGTGTTGAAACAGAGAGGTATAGTTTCATTTTGTTTGCCCTTTTTACTTCAATCCTTCTATGGCACTCGACATTTACAGTTTTGGTTCTTCATTACACTGATATAGACACAGTGGATGCCCGTTTATAAAAGCATTGAGATGAACTTATGAGCATTTTCTCAACTTCTTTCATTTGTCAAATGCATCTCATAGGATTTTGTAGTGATGAAAATATACACATCAAAACATACTTATAGATCCTGAGGAGACTGTCACCAAATTGCTCGTATGCCTTTGTTCAGGTCATGACGTTGTGTCGTGGGTGTGGTGGTGATGGGATAGAAGCAAGTCAAAATTGCCCAAGCTTCCCCTCCCTATGCCCCCCAAAAAGGAATCAAATCTAGCTATGATACAGGGTTAATACCAAATGTCACGTTGAAAAATCATTTAGAATTTCTTGCAATAAGCTGTTGTTTAAAAGTATTCCATTATGTTCTTGTGGTTTAATTTTGTGCAAATTATGCAAACCATTCCTGTTGTTTGAACTTATTACACTCCACCTGTCAAGATTTGAACGATTATTAGGAACCACTGGGGGTTTGAGTTCATTTTATAGTCAATCACACTCTGCTAGTTGACTACCAATTGACTAACCAGATTTTGTTGGCATCATAGTCATCTTTCTTGAAACACATGTTCTATTGTTATACTTGATTCTAAGGTCTTTCTCTTTAATTTTCTCTATTTTCAGAACCCAAAATATTATGGTGTTAATGGAATTATATGAAAAATCAAAAAGAAATTCTAAAATGCTGAAACACACACTTAAATACCGTGAACCCATCCCCGCTCCTCCCAGATACCATCGCCGTCCGAACTAATCCTATCATCATCAATTGCACAACAAATACTCTCTCTCACACACACATATACATAGCCAATGAAATATATGTGCGTGCATCTAGAGAGAGAGAGATTTAGCGGGGCCACCGTGCCATTGGTTGTAGGGGTTTGTTTGGGGGCATAAGGTCAAATGGGTCTGGGGGCTTTAGAGGAAGGAAGTGTCTTTCCTGGGTTTTTGGGGGAGGGGAATGGGAGGAGAAGCCAGGTGTCAGTCTTGGTTGGTGGTGGGGAGGAGTGGGGTGAGGAAAGAACCGGGTTGTCAGTCATGGTTGGTGGTGGGATAAAGGGGTCTTTAAGGGTGGGGAGATGGGGAAACATAAATCCGTTGGTTGTGGGGTGGTCGGGGACTTTAGTGCAGGGATGAACGAGAGGTGGAGAGAGAGAAAAGGGGGGTGGGGGGTTCATTTCTGGCTTCAAGATTGGTTCAAATTTGGGTAAATTTAGGACTTTTCAGTCGGTACTTGCTGATAGTCTTTTAGTGGTTGACATTCTTACTCAACCTTAAAGAAAAGGGTAATATTCAAAACTTATGATCCAATGTCAGTTCCTTTTCTCCTTGGGCTGTGTTGCCTATTTGCATGGTTCCCCAAATTACTTGTTCTACTTTGAACTAACCAGTCCGTCCTTGGCCCAAATTTTTTTACAATTTTGGGTGTTTTAAATAAAAGTTCCAGTTTACGATTTCAATTTTGCATGCCTTTACCCCAGGTACCTGGTTTTACTACATGGAGTTGTTTTATTCAGCTAGCTCTACATAAAACTATACTTGGAGTTGGAGTAAATGTAACCTAATCATGTGTTTTCCTTTATCCTCATCCCATGTCCTTTTTGGCACTTTCAGCTTGGATGAATTAGTTTTGCACATAGGATACAGTAATTGGTCGACATATAATGTTCTGCAGGAATGGGCTTGGAATTAGCAGTTTTCTTCCTATCAAAGAAAGAATTAGCAGTTTTCTAGATTGAATCATTTATCATCATCTGATTTTGGGAGGAAATGATCATAAACATATTGTTATCAGATTAGAAATAGTTGAGTATTATACATACAGGAATAGTTGAGTATTATACATACAGGAATAGTTGAGTATTATATGGCCCATGGTGAGATTTATAAAGCAACTGTTTTCATTGCCTCTTAAGAGATAAAAAAAAATTAGTCATGAACTTTTGATTCAAGATATGTGTAAGACATGTTAGTATTATATAATTAATTAAATAAATAAAATTAAAATAATTATATTCAATATAAATGTGTTAAGTAGCGCCTTTTTTTATTTGTTAAATTGATGAGTTTTTTTTAATCAAAATGTTATTATTGTGTCTTATAAAAATTCAAAATGTTATACTACATAGATGATATTAATGACAAATTTGACTAATTTAATTATTATGTTAAAAAAAATCCTGTGTTCAATGATCAGTCATAATAGTTGACCGATTGAGAGAAAAATATTAAGGAAAAAATAATAATTTCTTGACCGTTGGATGAATGAATTGGAGATCGTAAGATGTGTACAAAATCAGCCGTAATTGTTGACCAGTTAGGGGGAAAATATTAAGGACAAAAAAAGATAATTTTTTAACTGTTGGATGAATGAATTTGAGACCGTAGGATAAGGTTATTGAAGCCCTCCTGTTTTATATTATAGATATATGCACTTACATTTGCTGTTATCAGTTGCCTCTGCCAAAGCACAATGCTTATAGATAATTTGCTGAGTATTTTGTTGGCATGATTTGCACCTGGATGAGGACAGTAACTTGGTTTTAATTGCTTTATGTTGCTGCATTTTGTATAATTAGTATGTATCATTTACTTGAAGTTTTTATTCAACAAATGAAGAAAGCAATTAGGCTATATGTGAAACCATAGCTCTCTCTTTCCATCCTACCCCGCCATATGATCTGTGTATCATTAAGGATTACATTACATCTCTTTGAAAGTAACAGCCTTCAACTAAGACATGTGACTTGTTATAAGTAATCCACCTATACCACCTAAGACATAGGGTCTAGAGCTATTGCACCATGGGTTTTAATGTTCACATAGGCCTTACTATGACCACTTGTGGTATTGTCCTCGGGAGTATTTGCATTTGGCGATAGTTGGTAGGCGACTGCATACCTGATTATTTGTTTAGTGTGGTTTATTTGAATCACAAAAATTGTGTTTCTGTAAGAACAAGGTGGTTTTACTGATGAATGTGGTGGTTTTATGGATGGATTTGGTTTACTAGAAAACTAGAAAATCGCAATTGCATTCCTAACCAGACAACAGATATTGAGGCCTTGTCCATGTAGAGACAGCGCAGTTTTGGATGAATATTTTTCTTTTAAGTTATGTATATTGTTGTGGCCTATTTTTTTAGCTAGTACCTGTATTGAGTGGGGCCTGTGTGGGATGGGTACTTGATTAGCCTGGTCCTTAGCATCAATGTCGATGTTTTTTGGTGTCATGCAATGTTTGTTTCAGGTCGTGGAAACTAGAACTTGTTTACACGGTATATTAGAACCCACGCTTATGCTCTTTTTTCTCCTTTTCATATGCGTCTCTCTCTGACTGATATAGTCGTTTTCTTTAATTGCAGGCAAAGTTTGCTACAGATTTGGAGAATTTCCTGGACCAAGGTCAAAGAAAATGGCAAAGAGGTGGAGAGTTACACTAGCACCTACACAACCGTTCCAGTTGAGGAATCACTGTGATGGGTTTATGCTTGCCATCTCTATGAACTGAAACCCACACCTGCATTCAAACAGGAAGAAAATATACCAAACTAACTGTTTCCAGAAGAGCAGTAATGGGTAAGAATTATTTTGTCAAAAAAAAAAAAAAATTGGTAAACATTCCAATGAAGTTGAACCACAGGACAATATTGCAACTGTGTGAATTTCACACATCGAAAATTACTGTAATTAGCTAATTTCGTGAAGGGCCTTCACATGGTAGTTGTATTGCCAAATCTTTGGTGCAAGGTTGTTTCCTTATCATTACTCTTGACTAAACTTCAGCTCCTCGTGCAAAAAGAATCTAAGCTTTTTACTTCAGTTGTGTGTACAAATCACCTTTTTATATTGTATATAACTCTACTGTTAGGCTCACTTGATGGTGCTGTTCTTGTTACTTACATTTGTTTGTTGATCATGGAGGCAATCAGATAAATTAGTTATGTGTTCAAAGAAATAAAAAAAAAGATAAATTAGTTATGGATTTTCCATTTGTTTCCTCTTATGAATAATTCTAGGGATGGAGACTTTCGTTTTTGCTTGGAGAGATAAAAAAAAAGAAAAAACCCAAGCAATTCGCCACTTTTGTATTTGTTTGGTTGATTTGTATTCTCTCAATGACAAATAATCCACTATCAAAGTTTCTGGGTAACAAAACTCATCGTCGGGTCCTTAATTTCAACCATCCAATAACTTGACTTGATATAATGCATTGTATAACATTGATGGCTGACCCGAAGGGTTGGATAAAAGTAGGGGTGTCATTTACACGACTCATTCACATGATATGAATGAGCATCATATACGACGGTTTGGGTTTTTATTAATTACTTGTTTCGTAAATTAGTAAATTTAATAAGACATGATTAATAAACGAATTAGGCATTAATAAATGGTAATTTTTAATTGGGTGAAATTAATTAAAAAAATATACGATATGATTCGTTTATGTATCAATTATACATAATTTATATATGACACAATTTTGATATGATTTAATTTGTTAAACTTGAATTAATAAATAAAATAATTTTTGGTATGAATTTGTGAAGAAGTGACAGAAATCCGCCTCATTTAATAGGAGTGGTTGTGGAACTCAGTTTAACGAAGACAATTACAAAATAATCACTTTGAATTTCAACAACATTGGGGTGGTGGCGCAGTTGGCTAGCGCGTAGGTCTCATAGCTTTCTGAGTTATCCTGAGGTCGAGAGTTCGAGCCTCTCTCACCCCATTAGAAGTTACCTTTTTTATGTCCTCCTGTATTTTTTCCCACTTTTAAACTCTCCGCCTCTCTCAACCCATTAGAAATTACCCTTTTTCCTCTTTAGCTCACACGCGCACATAATCCGAAACGAAAAAGTGAAAGAAAGAAAGTTGAACGCGTAAATTGATTTAAATATTTTTAATTGTTAAATTAAAATAATAATAATAATTCTTGTATGTCTACAGAGTTGCCTTAAATTAGAACATGGCTAACTTAAACCTCACATCACATGACTTTTAAGATTAAAAACATAATGATAAAAAAAAAATCAGAATTATAATTTCTAATTAGCATTTCTCGTCTTTACCCTTTAGACTAAAATTTAAGTTCCGATAAAAAACTCAAAAAATCTTCTTCAATGCTAAAGTCACTCATACAACGTTAAGAAAGACACAAATTAAAACTAAGACCCTAACAGTAAAAAATTCACTTCCCTCTTCGCCTCCACTCTATGCGTCTTTTTTTTTTTTTTTTTAATTCAATGGTCAGAGGTGTGTAAAATAGTTTACACACATCTTGACCCCCTCTCTTATAGATACGGAGCCACCCTGGACTAGGGTGGGCACATGCCCCTTCTCCCAAACTCATTTTTTTTCCCTTTATATTACACACGTATTTTTTGAAATAAAATTTAAATATCTTTAACTGTGCTCACCCTATTATTCTATTCTAGTGATATCCATTTAAATAGATCTTTAACTGAATGATTGTTAACTTTTCGAATAATATTATTGAGATCTAATTTAATGACATAATACATTGTGATATTAAATATAATAGTGAGTATCAATGTTTAATAAACTCCACTATCTATCTAATAGTTTTGTCAATAGTCACAAACCATTGGGTTTTCGTTAATTAAATATCAAATTAGGTGCAGTTAATATTATTGTTAATTTTTAAACATGTTTCAGGTATATCCAAATATGTTTTGAACATATTGAAGTTATTTTAATTTTTTTTAAGTTGTAGGTTTATTTCGTTATTTTATAAAAAAATATGTGTCGTTTGTGGTAAACTATAAGACCATAAATGAAATATTGTCACCACAATTTTATATATAAAAAAAATATTGTCGATAAAATTGATTTGTAACTCTTTCAAATAATAAAACATACCACGTTCTATTGTAAGCAACAATAATTAGTCTCATTCTTGATTGATAAGAAATTTTAATTATCTTTTTTATTCATTCCATGCATATCGATTTTTAATCTTCTATGTTTATTGAACTTTTAAATATTAAAAATAATTTTAATAAATATGAATTTATAAACTTCTACGATCAATTGAAAAAAAAAAAAAATTTAAACGTGTTAATGTGCCTGCCCTAAATATTTTTCTT